CTCGCTTATTTATGCGCATTTAGCAAAGCATGATATCTTTTCGAAATGTTTACGAATCCGCGCTATCGGCACGTACCGTTGTTGTAGAACACATGTTAATTTATTGTCAGCTGCTAGGGTGTCGATAAAGCGCCCAATTGACTTGGGTAGCTATGTAACTTATATTTACCCAAAACCAACTGCAGTTAATACAAATGCAAATAACTTAATATTAATACTAATATTTGTGCACTGTTCAACACAATATACCAGCTGGTATTTCGAAATTTCTTGTGTCTACAGTAGGAGCGCAGATAACACTACTCAACAAATCTGTAGAAAAAATTTGTGACTGATGTGCTAAGCGGTCTTTGAGGTATCCTGATTACGAATCTGAGTTCAAAAATTTTCGATCAAGTACAGCTATTTTTGTCAGTTTAGTAAATGGTGGTTGTTCGACCACTGCATCCCTTGACTTTCACATAAAAAATCTTACGTGTTATGAAATTCTTATAATAATTTTCGGTTTTAGCAACCCAAAATTAGCTAGTAATAGTCTCCAACATCACTGTCGCATAAGTAAACTAGTGTAATCGTCCTGCCCGAAGACATACATAAATTAATGTATGCTTATGCTTGAAACATGCGTTAGGAAGTCAACCGCTTTTCAAGGCGTTAATATGTTAAAATAATGTAGCACACTGTAGCTATGTATATGTATATAAAGAAATATCGCTCAGATAACAAGGCGTCAATTAGACCTCGCTGTCAGTTAAAGTCTAAGGCGATTTATATAGATATATTTGTTTTACCAGTGAGTATAGATATGTCTTGATATCGGTTATCTTAAACGCATCTCACTTTACAAGTGTTGCTTGCATGTACTTTTAGCCTTTGGTAGTAGGAGTACTCTTTTAGCCATTAGTAGTATACTTTTAGACAGTTATGCATTGAGAGTTCTCAGCGAGGTTTATAAAAAAATTTCTATTATAGTACGATCTGTAACGTTTAGAGTTTTCTCTACTATATCAAAGCACAGCGCTCAGAAATTCAATTGTTTGTAGTCTAACATACATTTGAGCATAGGTATTAGTTTTTTAATAAGATTTCAGAGTCAGTTGGCTAACAAACTCGTTAAGCTTACAAAGTTTCTAATCTTTTACCAGGATCTGATTCAAGAACTTTGTTGAAAACTAACTAGAAAATATCAGAAATGTTCTGTTATGTAGTGTATGGAGTTCTGAAATCTGTAAACTTTCCATTCCATTTCATTTTCTTCCCCATCAGTTGTTGTTGCTCACTTTAGAAAGTTCTGCCGCAAGTCCGATGATTCTGCCATCAGCTTCTTTTTTAAGAATGTCGAATATTTTCATATTTACTACTTTCTGTGAAGCTGGATGCCGAAGTAAACTAGTTTTTGTACTAAACTCCTCAGTTGCTTGCGTTAACAGTTTCGACATTGCTTATAAAAAAGTAATTCGGAAAAGTTTAGTGGTTTTTAAATTAAGACTTTGAGTTATATACATATATGCATACTTTTCGTAATTCCTTTTTTTTTTTTTTAAAAATCATGTTATTTGAAAAATATATAACAATTTTAATGATCGGTTATTTATTTTGAAAAATTTAATTTTTTGATTCCGAAACCGATCTGCAGAAGGACTTCCTAAAAGATGTGTCTGGCAGTGAGAAAAAAATGTCTGCTTAAAATTATCTCAAATTCAAAAAGCCAAAAAAAATTATTTTTTACCATATATAGATGAGTACAGGTAATGATCGTAGAATCTTTTAAAATTTTCGATTTATGACAAAATTCCAAAAAAAGCCTTTTTTCTGAAAAAATTTGCTTAAAACAACGAAACTATTATACACAATTTGTTTTCTTCGATTATTGTCTGACAAATATATATAAGAAAGTAGTGTGAAAACTCGATTGATTTTCCTCACTAACTGTGAAAACAGAGCTATAATGGTAATATAATATCTTAACGTAGTCAGTTAAAACATATACGGTGGCTGAATGAATTTTCTATTTTACCAAACATGAACTGCCTTCAACAACATGAACATATATTCATTGTTGAATATCTCACAACATCTTATCAGTATACAATTAATTTCTATGGGAAGTTTTTCGAATGCCAAAGTCGAGTAGCAGACAGAGAGCCACTAAACACTGTGAGTTTACGTAAGCTTATCGGCGCAATAAAACTGAGTGCATTTCTTTACTGTTTTTAATGTGTGGAATTCAAAGTTTAATAATTAGAATTTTAGAAATTATGTATGCAAATTAACAAATGTGAAATGAAATCAAACTTATTTGTTAACTTTAATAAAATGTTAAAAAGCAGCAATTATTTATTTATGCTTTGAATTTACCTAATTACAGATTTAATATCCATTACATCATTAGTAATGATTAAAGTTCGAAATACACTCCGAACTCATAATTATTGCTGCAGAAAGCAATATACTGCAACAAATTAACAATATTGTTGCATATATCTATCAATATTTAAGTATGTGTGTCATAGTTTTTATTTGCCAAAACGCAAGCACTTCTTGTTTATCACACAGTCATTTATTCTATTAACAATACAACTGCAAATATGATATTAACTGCGTTCATTAAGCATGCAACACATTCATTAATACATAGTACATACAAGTATATAGCTTGCCACAGAGCCAACACAGCTGATAGTTTGCATTATCATATTATTATATTAGCATATATTCTGATTGAAATTAAAACAATTAAATTGTGCGGTAATCCATTGATTGCCATGCAAAGTCTTGTGGGTCAGATTGTAGGTTGTCACACACACACACACACTCACATTTAAACAGTTCTGCATGCTGCTACCATGTATGTCTGTCCGCTATACATTTTATAGATTCGTAAAAATTCACATTGTATCCGCACCTGTTTATATAACCACACGCCAATACATACACATATAAAGACATTTATGATTTTCGACGCGTAAATGTGTAAAACATAAAAATCACACATTAAAGTCGCATTAAAATTTGTACAAATTGATAAAACGTTTAGTAAAAATCGGCAATAATTTTAAAGAATACTAAAAACGCTGTTTCTATCGATTAAAATGTGTCAAAGCACTACATGGCAGGAATTTATTAAAAAGTGCTGTTTTGGTAGTTGTAATAATCATTTTTAAGAAATTAGACGAACTGATCCTCTTCGAAATCCATTGATTGTGTCTAAAATTTTTTAATATATTTCTGAATTAGTGAAAAGTTTGATTTCATCTCTAATTTTTACATAGCCTGTGGACTTATTGTATAGAAGACAAGTTTCCCTTTATCTAGCTAGTTCGTCTTCCTGTGGGATAAGAGCGGGGAATTTGATTTTCTGTTACTGCTTAAGCTTGGTTTGGTGACACAACGTCGTCAACCACAATCCTTCTGTAAAGTTGTTGTAGCTTAGAAATCTTGGTATTTCTATGCTTGAAGTATGAAGACCGCGTTGGTTTCTAAATTGAAAAAAAACGAATTTGCTTAGCATGAGCATTTGCCTCGAAGCATCTTAAATTATTTGATCGTAAGCTATTTAGAAAAATCAACAGTTTGTGGCTAATTTAGGCTTTAGGTAAAGACTCACAGTACAGAAAACAAAACTATTTAAATAATTTATATAATATTACTCTTTAAACTGGTCAAATATTCAAGAAACCTTCACTATATATATGCTATAAAAGATGTATACTTTCCGCTAGCGCAGATATTATATAATATAATATATACATATATGATTTCCATCACTTTTCAACAATTTCGTGGAACTTGTTATGAATATCTTAGCATATATAAGGTTTGCGTCTGAGATAAATATAAAGTTAGGCGGTTTTGGAACTTCAATCGTTAGATTTATTGAAGCAGATCTTTTGAATAAAGATATTTTTGTTCAAATAATTATGTATAAATACCTTTTTGAACTTGTATATCTTTATAAATACATAAAACATAGCTCGTGTACATGGCAACCCATAAAATTTAAATATTATAGCTATATCTTTTTATTACCATAAACTGGTTGAAAATTACAAATTAGTTTTCTAAATGAAAGGAAGTATGAGAAATAATACTGATATGTACTTAAAAAGGTCGCCTAAACATAACTTTCCTTCCCGCCCTCAGTCAAACTGTCAACTGCCTATAAGAGCATTGTTACTTCCTCGTGCTGATTAGGCAGGAAAAAGGTGCGCTTGTGGCCCACCCACTTCTTAACGCAACGAAATTCTCACGACTTAGATAACGCGAGGTGCGCGCCACTAGCTGCGCGTGCGAGCGCAAATGATTAAGTACGCCAGCAATTTACGTTGTCTAAGCGCAACAAATAAACATATATAAATATCAATAAACACATACTCGCAGTTACATATAATATATACACATGTATGAGCATATGTATGCACACAAAGAAACAATTATTTGAAAGTCGTGCAGAAGCGCCAGCCATCACCACCGTCTTCAACAGCTTAAGTAAGCAACGTTAGGCCGTCAGCGCAGCGCAATAGACGTCGCGTTTGCAGTCGCTACCTGCGTCGGCTTCGATTGCAGCGCGCATCGTGCTTGATAAGAATTATTCCATACATAGAAGTCAGCGTTTTGAAACTTAATAACATTAATGTGAGCGCTCACGCTGTGCACCGCGCAAAAAAAAACACAGAAATGCGAAGAAAAGGGAAGTGATTGTTTGAAGAAGAAGAAGAACAAACGACAACAGCGCTGATAAGTGTTCGATACTTACAAAGTGTTTGATTTGTTGCTGTTTTGGTTTTATAAAAAAAACGCAATTCTTTTTCACACCAAACAGTGTGCGCTTTGTTGCCGCGTTTTGAATGTTTTAAATGTGTGCAGCGACCGCAGCAGCAATGGCGGTGGCGGCGTGGTCTGAAATGTGGTTAGTCGCGGCGCTGTCAGCTACTGTGACGTAGCAGTCGCGCGCTCGTCGTCACGACGCTGTTATGAAGCGGCGCGCGGTTGCCTGCTGTGTCAGTTACTGCTCTAGTCCAACGACTAGATCGCTAGTAAAATGCTTTGACAATCAGCAGTCAGTTGCTGAGCGTGAGCACGCGCGTGCGATGATCATTTAGCGTGCGAAAAAACTTTGAAAATTGAAAATAAAAAGAACGTTGTAAGGCGTTGAAAATTGCAAACGTACTTTGTTTTTAGCGCGCGCCGGTGCAAAAAATTTAAAATAAGCGCAATAGTTGTTAAGATAGTGCACTGAACGGATAATGGTGAGAAATGTGTGGTGAAATAATATAAAGAAAGGAATTTAAATAGAAAAAGTTTAAAGAAAGGATCAAATTCGCAATTAAGCAGACTTGGTCTGTTATTAAATGTGAAGGAGACAATAACAAAAAAAATTATAAATTTAAACAAAAATAGTATGCTTTTGGTCGCCGTAAAAACAAAAAAGAAATTATTTAATTCGTTTTTGTTTCTTTCTTTTAAAAAACAAAATATAATTAAATATTTTTCTATTTATAAAAATAAAGAATATCATCTTAAATAAAGTTTCATAAAAAAATTTTAATATAACATATAATATATATAAATATGCAAAATGTTTAATAAAAAATTATGAATATTTTTATTAAAATAACTAATAAAACCAAAAGGTGGCAAATTTTATAAATTTAAATTAAATTTATTCAAGTAAAAAAAATTAATAAAAGCACACAACATATTTTTTTGTATTAAAAATTGTTTTTTCAAAAAAAATACATACATGTATGAGTGAATTGAAAATTAAAAAAAAATAACATAATATTAATAAAATAAAATTGTAATTCAAAAAAAAAGTACAAGGCATAAATATAATCATATATAATGAGTAAGCTATATAAAAAAATATTATAAAAAATTCAAAGAAATAAACATAAAAAAAATAAATATTTTCTTAAACTTTACTGGGGCCAATAAATTTATAAAATATTTTTTTTTATAGATGAGTATACATTAACTTTTTATTAAGATTTATATAAAGGTACATTTTTAATAAAAAATTTTCACAAAGCATTAAAAAGTTAACTTTATTAAAAAAAATAATAATATATTTTAAATAAAAAACATACAAATGAATAAATATTTCCCTAAACTTTACTGGGGACAATAAAATTATAAAAATTTTTTTTTAATAAAAAGTATACATTCGTTTTTTATTAAAAATTATAAAAAAAAATAATTTTTAGTATAATATTTTTCTTACTAAAAATTTAATAATGTTTTAAATACTAGAAATTCACATTTATGATAATTTAATGATAGCCCACGAGAACAATAATACAATAATTATAAAAAAAATGTTTAGAAAAATTATAAATTGCATATATACTTTTATACAATTACATAAAGCATTTATATATTAACAAGTTCGATTGCAGAAAGTGACAAAAAAACACAAATAGAAAACAAAACATTCCGGAGAAACTCTATTAAGACATAAATATTGTATATGTAATAAGCGCTAATAACTTTCAAAAAAAAATATTATAAATTGAGTGACAAAGTTCAGAAAAAGTGAACAATTGAATGAGCTTAAGCGAAATAAGTATAGAGCTGAAATAAGCAAAATATATATGTACGAGTGTGCAGAAATACTTTGCTATTCTAAACAAATCTGTGTAATATAGACAATACAACAACACAAGCCGCTAATCGCCAGCTAGAATCAGTCAAGCTTATGGAAAGTCGCAGAAAAAATTGTCAATTCATCGCTCGCAAATAAAGCAAATAGTGATACCAAAGCCGGACCACGCAGATAAGTTTACAAAGCCGGAAGAAAAAAAAAAACTAAATAAACATAAATAAAAAATTGCAAATCGCTTTTTGAAACACACGCGGTCAGCTGTCAACGAAAGGCGATGCGCAACAGCTGAGAGGAACTGTAAACAATTCACTAACATAGATATTAAAAATACAAATTGTAGCGCTTCGCACATACATCTAAAAGCACAGAGTTCAACATGCGTGCCTTCCAACGCGGCTTCTTCTGTGCGGATCTCTCGCTGCGCTATCCGTATCGCGAGTGCACAATCACCATACCGATGCTGCTGATCTACACGCTGTTACTGCCGATGCTCTTCATCAGCGTTGTGGAGATTATGCGCATCTGCAAGTGCTTTCGTCTACGCAAATACATAACGAATTTAGCGCGCAGCTTGTCAATCTTTAGTTTTGGTTTCATCGCCACCTACCTAACGACGGAGTTGGCGAAAAATGTGGTGGGGCGCTTGCGCCCGCACTTCTACACCGCGTGTCAACCGCGCTTGTCGGACGGCAGCTCCTGTGAGAGCGCATATCAGCAGCTGGTCGGCGGTGGCGTATATGTAGAGCATTACTATTGCGCGAATCGCAATTTGAGCGCGCGCCAGTTACGTGAACTGCATGTATCCTTTCCGAGCGCGCACTCATCGCTCTCATTCTACGCTATGCTATTGCTGTGCTTTTACTTACACGCAGTGTGGCGCGGACGTGGCACTACACGGGTGCTGCGACATATACTACAGTTTCTGTTATTGTTGCTCGCCTGTTACATAGCGCTAAGTCGCGTGCGTGACTATTGGCATCACTGGTCAGATGTGTTGGCCGGCGCGCTGCTCGGTATGTTGTATGCCATATTGACGGCGGTGTATGTGGGACGCATGCTGAGGCAGGGCTTCGCAGATGCAGCGACAACGCATAAGCATAAGAAACATCAATATAAGGTGGGTGCGAAACAGCAGGTGAATCAGCTGGCGCATGCGCACCATCATCATCCGCATCAGCTGACATCGTCACAGCATCGTCTGGCGTCACATGATGCGCGCAGTGGGCGCATGTTGCTGGTGGCAGCCAGCGGTAGTGTTAGCAATTTGCAGCAGCAGCAGTTGTTGCCAACAGCGCACGAAGATCTGGAGAAGCAGCAGTTGCACGAACAAGTGGTTAAAGAGCATTTAATGGAGCGCGGCAGTATTGGCGGCGGTGATTGTGAGTGGAAGCTGCAGGCGGTTGTGTTGCCAACGTAATTTGCCAGCAAAGCGCCATAGGACTGGGAGCGCAAGCACGCGCTGGAATGAGGAAGGAGCGCTACGGTGAAGTTGACGGCGGAACAAATCTGTAAACACATCACATATCGGCAAAGCGGTGATAAGAAAAGAGAGAAACGCCACTTTAAACGGCACATAGTGCACTAAGCTAGGAGGGGGAGAAGAAAAGTCATGCAATAGTAATCTAATTCGACGCGCTCGAAAATAATGTGCGTACAAGATTAAAATAAAAAAATGGAAAAGGGTTTGTAAAGGGGTTTTGGTACCCTTTAAACAAATTGGCTTACTAAATCATCAGACGGCGTTATTCAATCAAGAGGCTGCAAACTAAATCCGTTTGGGGAAAACAGCAAGCACTGTTATAAAATTTCCTACCAGTGGCACCCTACCCCCCTAACACAGCAGCTCTGTGCATTAAAACACAAAAGCGGGCATATCATATGCAACACAAGCACAAAAAAACAATCAATATATTTATATATAGCAATAATAGCCTTGCAGTACCTGTACGTAATTATTGGTCATGCAACTAACTAACCAAACAACAACAAAAAAAATAAATAGTTTTTCACCAAAAGGCAAAAATGCGCTATTGTGCAACAAAAAGTGGCAAAATTTCACAGCAACAAATGGTAATGCAACAATTGGTTAAGTGAGACAAGCGTAAATTCGACTGAGTACGGCAACATTGGCAAGCGTGACAGCACTGGAGTGTTGGTAGCGGCCGCATGCCTTTTGGTCGCTTGCCGCAACCACGCTTAGCTGCTAGTGAGTCACCAACAATAGCGCTAAAAGCGAATATGCACGACCAAATAGATGATCACATACATATGTGTTTATGTGTATATATATGTGTGTGTGTGCACTTTCATATGCTTAGCGCTGTTGGAGTTTGTTCCCCTTTGGCTGTGTGCCGGCAACAAGACATTATGAAAATAAGTAGCAGCAATCGCTAGAGCAATAGCAACAGCAATAACAAGAGACGCTGAAATAATAACAAAAACAAAAACAATAACAAAAACAACAAACGAAAGCAATAAGGAACAAAAATAAGGCGCGCTTACAAGTGTGAATAACAACAACGATATCAGTTAAGGCAAGCAATCAAGCGTCGTCACAGCGTTCAACGATGGCGCAAATAAAAAAAGACAAGCGCCGTTTTGTAATAGTTAATATGTAAGCGTGTATGTTTGTAGAAAATATTGCAGTAATGAGGCAGCTGCCAAAGCGCAGCTATTTAGTATATATACTCACTTATACGCATACATATATTTTTGTATGTATGTATATGCGTAGCTTAAGTAGGTGCATTCGTGTGCGCACAGTATTATACTTTGTCTATTTTTAAGCAGCTCATTTTGCACCCACACAAACATATCTGCAACTATATGTATGTATGCACACCCACCCAGCCATCAATCAATCGCTCAATCAACGCGAACATATAAATTTAAATGAATTATATCCTCATAACTTATTTGCTAAACTACTTAAGTACCTTGACTTCCTTTAAGCGCTCACTAACTAAGTATACCTATGAATATATATTTACATGTATGTTTGTATGTGTGCACTTTTAAGCGGATAAGCATAAATTTAGTGTGTGACAACATATTACAATAAATAAGTATGAAAGTCAAGAAAAACTTTTCTTCGGCTGCATAAATTAAAAAGTGTAGTAAAAATTGTACTTACTTTTATTTGAAAAAAAGAAAACAAGAAAATTTAAAAGAAATGTGAAAATAATAAAATTTTATGTATTTATTTATTTGTTCTTGGAACGTTAGACGCTATGGTTTGTATTCTAACATATTGTGGATGATAGCTACACAGCTAAAAATATTCAATATGCGGACGCTTATGCTAAAAATGGCATAAGTTGAATTTTGGAAATTTCAAAAAAAATTTTAAATGTTTCAGTTTTATAATTTTATATTTCTTAAAATGTACCAAAATATAATTTTGGTAATATCAAATCCAAACAAACAGCGCAACCGTTTTTAAACGTAGAATTTTACTTAATCAGCTGTTTTATGACGTCATATTAATTAAACACTTGCAACAAAGAAGCATTTTTGTAGAAATATATTTGTGGTGGAAAGCTTTTCCATTGGAGAAAATATCGTCACCAAATTTGACATGGGTTATTTTGCAAGGCAACGGTATAATCTCTGCAGAAATTGTTGAGATCAGAATACTGACCTTTTGTATGTGTGAAGGGTATTATTGCTTCGGTTCAAGCGAAATTACCGTTTTTTTTTTGTGTTTGAGCATTATTATCTCTGGCGATTTATATAAATTGAATTCAATTTAAAGATCTTCATCCATGAGCAATCACATTGTACTATCCAAATTATTAGTTTATTTGCGTGACCACATCTAATCTTCAGTACCCCGTATAATGCTGCCTGATAGCTCTTAAAGCCGCTGTACTGAGCACATCTTTTAGCTGTTGTTATTATTTCGGCTTTGGTAGAGAGCTTTAGCGAGTTCAATTCACATACACGCATGCATATTTTCTACGTTAATGTTTGATTTCAACACATAGAAAATTTTTTGGTAGATTTGGCTAAATTTTGCAATCATTAACCGAGTGAAACGTGTTTAGGCGGGATGAGCAACATTACGAAATTCGTACTTCGCTTGGTTTTTGGTTTAAATGTTGTTGAAGGCTCTGTGAGAAAACTTTTCCCGTACATCTGTTTTTACGTATCTTATTCAATTTTTATGCTGCAATGAACATGCGAAGTTGTTTCTCGTTCTGCTACTTGCTACTTAGAAGGAATGATTATTTCAGGTGTAGGACCTCAATTTCTGAAAATTGTTAGACATATTGGTTTCATTTAACTAAACAATTCTTTAAATGCTGATTATTTTTTCTGAAAAAAAGATATAGTATAACATTATGCTTTTCCATTCCAGTCTCTTGTGTTAATATATGCGTGAAATAAATTTAATTTTTAAGTCTCCGACATAATTAGAACACTTTGCAGAAAGTTTTGGGAAATGTCCCATTTTCTAACAACTTTGTTCATCATATCTCTTTAATTGCAAAACTAAACCCTAATCAATAGAATTTCCACATTGTATGGAAGCTTTCTACTAAATGCAAGAACTAATAATAAAGTCCAGCGAAGAAATCCTAAAAATTTAAAGAGCAGCCTATTCAACAGTATTTTTATTCTTTTTATGAACTTTTGAAACAGTATTTTTTTTGTTTCCTTATGAACTATTGAAACAGTGTTTTCTGTTAATGACAGAATGAGTAGCTGTAAGCGCTTTATGCTGTTCGTCATGTTTTGCAACTCGGAAACTAAACTGATTAGTTCACGGAAACTTAAACTGGTAACTTCCGATAGTAGCAATGAAAAGAGAAAATTAAAGGCAGCTTCTAAGGGAGTTTTCACCAAAAACTGTTTTCCCTGAAACACAGCAGATAAACATTAGACAGATCAGCAGGAAAATAGTAGCATGCATATCACGCAAGACTGTGATTCATCACATCCTAAACCTAATTAGATAATTTCTGTAAGGCAAAAACAAAGGGAACATATTATATTGTATAATTCTGTTCGAACCGCTGATCAGAGAGTTTTTAAACTTTTAAACCGTTTTTCCTACAGGACATAAAACCAAGAAGCTACAGCGCTGACGCTCACTAAGGTATCGATTTTTTTAGATTATATATACAAAGATAAAGTTATGTGGATGTAAAGCTGTAAAAAGGTTTGTGTGCGTTTATGTACACATGAAGTGGTGCAACCGCTTGATTTGTTATTGTCTCCATGCCAACAACAAATCAGTGAATGGCCTATGTTTAAGTCGAGATCTCTTAAGCACACATACCTATATGGATATGTAAAAAGCTATAGCTATTGGATAAACATACACATACATATACTTACATGCATACATATACAAATATGCTCCTTTGTTTGCGTGAAAACCTTTTGGCAAAAAAAAGTAAGCGTTCTACTTCGCTTAGACACGTACGGAGCATCGTCTGCCATTGTATTTGATTTGCGTAAATGCATTTGTATCTGTAACTGTATGTGTGTTCGCTACACATACGCAAATATATATAATATATGTATGTGTGTGTGTGTGTGTGAGTACGCGCTATTCTCAAGAATGTGAATTTAACGAATCATGAAATACGATAATTGAAGCATGCAGTGTACCATTGTTGAATGGAATAATAAAATCACCCGGACAACAACAGCAACAACGGTGAATGGCACACAAATAGCTGGAGAATAAATTCAAGGTAGTAGTTGGAAAAGTTAGGACAACAACCAACGGAGGCGCACAAGGCGCACTAACTGATTTAGGTTGCCGACAACTTCAAATACACAAATATGAGTGAATTGCTGGTGAATGCGAAAGCACGTGCGTTGGCTGTAGGGTATGCGTGTGTGCGGGAGGTGAATTGTGCTAAGAAATTGCTGCGAAGATTTTCGGTTATAGAATTTCTGTTTTTCACGCTGACTTCGAAAAGTTTCGGCCCACCAAACACATTATTCGGCAGTGCTGTTGTATTGAAAGAACGCGTGGAGAGTGAGAGAATATGTAGGGTAGAGATTGTGTGTGCGAAAGGTTGTCAGAAAGTGTCGGCACAGGTAGTGTTGCACTATTGAATTAGTTGTAGGTGGCAAATGTGAAATCAAATTGTATTCGCCATTTGTTGTTGTTATTGTTCGGAATTTTTTGACTAGTCGCTCTATGAAACGGTCGCAATGTTTAGCCATTTGTGTCGCACAAAGGGCACAAGTCGCGAGGGTAACGAGTTCGTAAAGTTGCGAAACTAGTTTCTAAAGTCACTTGCGAAAATTCACTTTTCTGCTTAATTTTGTTACAAAGTGAGATTGCATAAATTAAAAAGGTGTGCAAATTGTTTGTCGAAATAGCGCAAGAGTGAGATATATCTTTGTGTTTATAGGGTGCTTTGAAAATTGCTTTGTTCTTGTGCATTTTGAGGCGCTAGCAGCTCTTTCAAATCATATTCTTGACTTTCAACTTTTTTGTTTGCTTTTTTTGCTGCTTTCCAAAGATTTAAAATGATTTGTTTACATATGATTTTCTCTCTGGAAGGCGTAACTAAAAAGCTGTATATTCTTCAGTTAAAAATATTTGCGTAAATTAATAAAATTGCTTCAGACACGTTTACTTTTATTTATCGTTTTTAGATTCAGGCGCCCACTCTATTCGCCATTTATGATCCGTCTGTGTAGATGCTGTAAGTTCTGCTGGCGAGTCGCTTGCTCTTCTCTTACAAATAAAGCGTGCGTGTATGTGGTATATTTTAGCCCCCAACCCCTGCTTATTGAACTATGCCTGTAGGTTCTTGTGAAGAATTCACCTAATGCCTCCAATTTGACTGCTGATTTTGCTGCAGCGATTTCCACTACCATGTCGATTGGTGGTAGGTTGAGTCAACTTTAGTAACATAATTAGTTGTTAGCTGTGGAAATTCTATTTTAAATATTACCTGTTTTAAGTTGTTTTTCTTTTATGTGGCTATTAATATTTTGTATTATTAACAAAA